GGTTGGAGACATCCGTTAAGACCCTCGCTGCCTCTCTTACCTCTCTCTGTGCCTCATGGGGAACATTCTGGCTTCCATTCTTCCCTCTTTCTGCCTGGCCTGCTTCTTCTGCAATCTCAAGCCCCTCTGTCTCTACCCCAACCTGAAGCCCAGGTTTCTAATATTCTTCCTGTGTGGCCACAGTACAAATTGGACAATGGCTCACAATGGCCAGAAAATGGTAGTACATTTGTCTGTTCTGAGAGATTTAGATAATTATTGCCAACAATTGGGTAAATGGTCTGAGGTGCCTTATACCCAGGCATTTTTCACACTATGCAGCTTTCCTACCCTATGTTCTTCCTGTGACCCTTCCCAGCACATTCTTCTGTCCTTGTCACCCACACACACCCTCTTTCATCTGTGATGAATCTAACTCCTTCCAGCAACAGATTTGGCCTCTTTGCTTCCTCCTCCAGCCAAAGCCAAGCCAGCTGCCCTGCAAGGGACCTCCTGCTGCAGTCCCCTCTGCTCCAGTCCCTATTCCCTCCATTTATCTGACACTTCCCTTGGAGTCTAACCCTCCTCCTTACCCTAATAAGACCACTCAACTCCCTCTCACACTAGGTCTGGACTACAGTTTGGCATTCCTTCCCTGATCCCTGCCCCTCAGTTTCTCTGCTTCAGGAGATGGGAGTGGAGGGGCAGAGGGAATAGTTCAAATTCATGCCCCCTTTTCTCTGTCTGATCTTTCTCAGATTAACCAGCCCTTGGGTTCCTTTTTCACATATCCCACTAGATATGTTCAAGAATTTCATTATCTCACTAAATCTTATGACTGAAGATAACATAAATGTTATTCTTTCCTTGACCCTCTTGCCTGAGGAGCAAGAACCCGTTTGGTCCCTGGCTTAGGCTTATGCAGACAACCACAGGCGTCTAGAGCCTAATATCCAGGTGGGCACTGTAGCTGTTCCCCTAGCCAACCCAAACTGGGATTTTAAGTGAATAGATGGAAAAGGGACAATCCCCAGCTCAGAACAGCCATAACTATATGATCACTTGCTTGAGGAGCTGTGAAAGGCAGCACATAGGGCAGCCAATTATGATAAACTAAAGGAGACCACTCAAGGGAAGATGAGAATCTGGCTCAGTTCATGTCCCATCTGGCTGCTACCCTCCAGCACTTTACAGCTCTGGATCTGGAGGGCCCAGAAGGCCAGCTCATTCTGAAGATACATTTTATTACTCAATCTGCTCCAGATATTTGTAAAAAGTTACAAAAATTAGAGGCAGGTCCTCAAACTCCCCAAAAGGAATTAATGAACCAAGCTTTCAAAATATTCAATAATTGTGATGAGGCAATCCATAAACAGTGTATTTCTGAATACCACCAGCTTACTTTTGCCATAAGAAACCTGCAGGGCAGCCTGAAAAGTCAGCAGACAAGGGAACCCCGAAGGTTTCCTTGCCTAAGCGGGTCCCTCTAGGGCCATGTTTCAAGTGCCACCAGCTTGGTCACTGGGCCAAGGAATGCGCCCAGCTAGGGAATCCTTCCAAGCCATGTTCCTTGTGCAGGGGCCCACATTGAAAGTTGGACTGGCCCCTGCTGGCATCTGCTCCTGGAGCTTGCTCCCAGGGCTCCACACCTAGCACTCTCCCAGAGATTCTCGGACTGGTGGCAGAAGATCGACAGTTCCTCTCAGATGCTGAGCTTGTGGGTAACTCTTGGGGTGGAGGGTAAGCCCATTTCATTTATTATTGATACTGCGGCCACCTATTCCACCCTACCTTTTGAGGGCCAGTCTCTCTGGTTCCAACCACTGTGGTGGGGATTGATGGCAAAGTTTCCAGACCCTTAAAACCCTCACCAATTTGGTGTCAATTAGGTTAGCAGTCTTTTCCCCATTCTTTCCAGGTCATTCCCACCTTCCCTGTCCTTCTCATTGGACAAGACATCCTAACAAATTTATCTGCCACTTTGACTGGTGTATAGCTTACCTTTCTCATCGCTCTCATTTCTGCTTCCTTGATTAGTATCCCAGCCCTGTTTCCCCTGAACTCAACCCTAAGACATGGGACACCTCTTCCCCCTCTCTGGCACTTAACCAGGCACTTCTCTTCATTCTGCTAAAACCTGATCATTCCTACCCTGCGAAGCATCAGTTTCCTATTCCTGATCAGGCTCTGAGAGGGTTAAAACTCATTATCTCGGGGCTGGGGATTTAGCTCAGCGGTTCCAGCACCTGCCTCTCAAGCGCAAGGTCCCAAGTTCAATCCTTGGTACCAAAAAGATGCCCTCATTATCTCCTGCCTGCTACAACATGGCCTCCTGGTTCCTACTAACTCCCCTTACAATACCATCCTTCCTGTTTGCAAGGTGAATGGTTCCTATGGACTAGTACAGGACCTCCGTGCCATTAACCAGATTGTCCTTCCCATTCATCCTGTGGTGCCAAACCCATATTCACTTTTGTCTTCTGTCCCTCCATTAACTACTCACCATTTTGTCCTGGATTTAAAGGGTGCCTTTTTCACCATCCTTTTAGACTCCTCCTCAAAGCCCCTCTTTCCCTTCATCTGGACAGACCTGGACACTCACCAATCTCAACAATTGACCTGGAATGTTTTACCTCAGGGTTTTAGAGACAGTCCTCATTACTTTAGACAGGCCTTAGCTTGTGACCTGCCCTCTTTCCACCCTTCCTCCTCTTACCTTTTTCAGTATGTAGATGATCTGCTTTGCTGTAGTTCTGCTCAATTTTCACAAGACAGTTACTCCTACAACACTTAGACTCAAAGGGATATCACCTTCTAAAGCCCAAATCTCTTCCCCCTCTCTTACTTAGGCATAATCCTCCATGGATGCACTCGAACCTTGCCTCTTTCAGCTCCTGTCCTAGCTCCTACAGAACTGAGTACTACTAGGCAGATGTTCTCTGCTACTCCCTGCTATAACAAGATTCCCCCCAATTTTTCTCCCCAATAGATTGTCCATGCAGCCCCCATTTCAGGTGTGAAGTAGCCTTGAGAAGCATCCCCCCCCCCAATAAAGCTTTTTCTTTTCTATTATGATAATAAGATAGGGATGTCAGGCCTGATCTGGCCATGATTTGGTTAATGGATATGTTGATTCCAACCTACAGTTTTAGCAGATTAAAAAAAAAAAAATGCAGCTCTCGGCAAGACATGCCACTGCCTCAAATCAGAAGCAGGCTGTGCTGTCTCAGAGCAGGGAGAACATAGGATGGGATGTGACAAGAAAGACAACAGAGTACAGCATGACATCTCTGCCTTGACCACTGCATGGACCCCGACCACATGTTTGCACCGACCCATATATTTGACAGATGTGCCAGACCCCTCTCCCAATGCCCTATAAAAAGCTCTGCCTTGTGTCTGTTCAGCATTGTTGATCCTCTTGCTCTCAGTCCACCTCTGGCCAGGCGAATAGTCACTTCACTGCTTTCCACTGGTTTGCTCGGGTCGTCTCATTCCTCCACTGTTTATTACAGAGGGCCCTAATGCCAAACTGACATCACATGGGTGAACTGCCTGTTACGTTTTGTGTTTAGATGTTCCCCCAAAGCCTCATGCAAATGAGGTGGAGCTATTTTGGTACCAGGGATCCAATTTGGGTCCTTGCGCTTGCAAAGCAGGTGACGGAACCAATGAGCTAAATCCCTGGCCGAGGTGGAGCTGTTCTGGAGTTGGCTGATTCTAGAGTGTATGATGCTGGGATTAAAGGCATGTGATTACTAAACCAGTACATGCCAGTGAATGGGTTGGCACCGCCCTAATCCCGGTAGTCTAAGATAAAAGGGGCAGGAAGATACTGTTAAGGTCCCTTGTTGCTTTTCCTATCATGTGGGTACCATGAACTGTTTCTCCTCTGCAATGCCCCTCTTCCATTCATTGCTTTTGGTGTCTTCTGCAGCCATGAACTGTTGTCTCCCTGCCACCCTTCCTTGGAGCTAGCCGCTTATGGACTGAAACTTCTATGAACTGTAAGCCAAATAAGACTTTTCTCTTTAACTTTGTGTGTCAGGTACTTTGTCTCAGCAACGAGAAAGGTAACTAAAACACTGCCTGAGGATTTCAGAGCTGTCAGGTCCCCAGAGAGGTGGCTACTGCTAACCTCAGCAAGGCTCTAGCAGGAATATACTGGGACCTTGTTGAGCTGCAAAATGGAGAGGACCCACCCTGGTGAGTCTGTTGAGTCACTAGGTCATAGTAGCCACAGTGGTGACAGCCACAGGGCATGGCTAACTGGGAAACTGCTGCTGGTTTGTATTGTATGAGGCCTTGTACATGTTTACTAGCAAGTAAAACAAGGCCCAGAGTATCAACGGTGCCCTATGAGAGTAGCACCCTTGTGACTGGGGGTGAGCAGAGCTGCCCAGGTGTCACCAACCCTGATCAAAGCATGCACGGTGAACCTTGGCTAGGAAGGCCACCCAGCCAGATCACTTGGGTACAGCACGAGTCCTGCTCAAAGATGATGAAATAGCCTATCAGTGTTCTCACTCAGTTACGGAAATGCTGACTGCTATTCTAGGCTGGGAACAAGTACTCCTTTCTTGACTGATCACTGAACTAAGTTTTTAAGGCCTGGTTGTCTCTGGAATCCCAAGGAACATATTTCACTATTTTCTTTCAGGATTCCAAGTGCAGCTAACTTTGAGACACCATCAGTATGAAGAGTACCACCATGTAAAGCACCAATGGCCCAGGCCAAGCTGTTCACTTCTGGCTCCTGAGTCACGAACAGCCTGTCCCCAGACCTTGCCATTGCATTCCAGGCATTTGATCAAGCTGTCTTGATGGCCAGAGGAAAATTTCAAGTCCAATTCTGACTGCTACTAGGAAGTACCCGCAGAGCACTGCTCACTCCACTAACCCTGCCCTATGTGAACATGGCAACACAGGTAGGGCTCTGACCTCCCTTTACCCTGCCACATCCCCGAGGGCTCTACTTTGCTCCCTAGAAGAGGCGGCTGTAAAGACCACAGACACCCTGATTTACATAAAATTATCTCACTCCATTTTATTTAAGATTTTTTTTATCCAGTTAGTAAAAGAAAGATGTGTCTCTCTTTATACATATATACAAGTTCAGTTATAAAAATAGCACATTCAAAGAGAAAAAAGGCTTGGCATTTTTCTGATTCTCTCTAAATAGCATCTGTACACAGGAGTCTGGGTTTGGGCAGGGGAATCTTAATGATTTAAATTAAATGATTCCCCTATAACCCCTACTCCTCCCCCCCAAAAAAAGTTTAAAAATCAATCTATCTAAACTCAATTCTGTGATTTTCGGGTGTGCAAATTAGAGGCTGGCCCACCCAGAAGCACCTGCTCCAGCGGGGACTGGGGGGGGGGGCAGAAACCCCTCCCATTGAACACTGGCCCCTGGTCTGAGAGGCCAGCAAGCTCAGGCTGGTGGGGCTGGGGCTCGGAGGGTCAGTGACAAGCTTGCCCTCTCTCCACCCTCTCCACCTCACTCCTGCTGCTCCTTCCCTTCTCAGTGCAATACAGACAGTGCATACAGCCAAGCAGGGGACTGAAGGGCAAGGATGGGGAGAATGTGCATTCAGGATGGGTAGAGGGGCATCTGCAAGAGGGGTGGTAAGGATGTCCTGCTGACTGAGGTGGCTCCTGGTCTCTTTACTGGCTTCTGGGAGTCCTCTGGGTAGGAGCTGCTGCTACTGTTGCTGGTAGGACCTGACGTTTGCTTGGCGAGAACCATGCAGGACAGAGGAAATGCTAGGGAACCACTGCCCATGGGTCTGCTTCCTCTGGTTGTCTGCCACCCTTACAAACCATCAGCGTCCTTGGCATTTACTGCTCTCTCTTCAGTGATGACACTGAAGTGTGGCAAATGGAATCTGGAGACCTGGGGAGCTATCCAAACATTTTGGACACCAGGTACAGGAGTTCCTTCCTTCCTTCTCAGCCCTACAGGAAATCATGAACTTAAGAAGTCTCCACAATGGACGCTCTTTGTGACACCTGGAGAGCCTTTGCAAGGGATGTGGTCAGAGCAGAAGAGTGGAATGGGGATGGAGACAGCGTGCCTGAGCATCTACAGGGGATCCAGGGCAGGTCTTTCCTCAGTAAGGGGTTTGAGGCATGGCCACAGAGTTCATTTGGGATGCCATGGGGCCGATCTTGCCCTTGGGCCCTCTTCTCACAGGCCGCCCCAGAGCACTCCTTGGGAAACAGGTGATAAAAGTGCTCACACCATCCACCTGCCTGTCTTCCCTTTGCTGTGACTGGTCCTCTCTGCCCTCTGACTCGGGATGTAAGATGCTGTGTTGGGCAAGCCATCCAAAGACCATCTGTAGGCTGGGACTCGAGCCCCTGGTTTGGTTGAAGGAAGCTGGTGGGCCCAGATGGTTACCGTCCTCCAGAGGGATTGATGCCTTTGCCCTGTTTCCGGACCAGAGAGTCTGAGGCGAGGCTGCTGGTCATGTGGAGGCTCTTGGGAGTCCCAGGAACATTATTTCCTTTGCTCAAAGGGGAACTCAAGGGAGAAGAGGCGCTTGAGGGTCCAAAGTCAGCAAGGCCAGCAGGTCGGACAAGGGATGTCTGCAGAGGACTGCTGGCAGAGATTCCTGTGGGGACGGAGAAAGAGATGGAATGGGTGTTAGTACCAGGTACAGGACAGCTGCCTTGGAACCTGGGTGTTGGATATCAGAATCTGGGCAGGAGCACAGGGGTGGGGAATCCCTCCTTGCCAACCTCTTCTTGGCATATTTGCTTGCTCTTCCTGTCAAACTGTCTTTTCACTAAGAAGGATGGCCTTTAAAGAGAAAATAACATCTACCCAGCCTTCCTCATATGACTTCATTCAGAGTAAACTGTCTAATTGGGGCTCTGGACAAAGCACACACACACACAGTGTGGGATGCCAGCACTACAGGATGAGAAGAGTAGCTTACGAGGCACTAATGCATTTTTCTTTTTCTTTTTTTTTGAGACAGGGTCTCACTATATAACTCAGGTGGGTCTTGAACTCAGAGCAATCCTCCTGCCTCAGCCTCCTGAGTGCTGGGATTATAGGTGTGCTCCACCATGCCCCGCCCTCTTTTCGTGATGCTTCCTTTGAGACATATTTCCTTCTTAAATTTTTTCTTTTTTGTGCGTGTGGTGCTAGAGATTAAACCCAGGGGTGGCTCTACCACTGAGTTACATCCCTAGTCCTTTTTATTTGAGGTAGATTGGGAGAACTGCCCAGGATTGAATTTGCGATCCTCCTGCCTCAGCTTCCCTCAATACTGGGATTGTAGGCATGTGCCACTATTCTTGGCTTCCTTCTTTATTTCACAGATGTGCTCTACTCCCCAACAAGTCTGGCCAGAGGGCCCAAGGCTGCCTCTCTCTCTATTCCTGTACTCCTGCACTGGCTGTGGCCATCCTTGCTCTCTAAGCCCTGCCACTTCAAGGACCCCAGTCAAATCCCTCATCTTTGATAACGACTCTTAGGACAACAGTGAACTTTCCTTTTTTTCTTTTATGTCTCCTAGGCATGAAACAGCTCTGGTCACCAAGCCAGGCATCCAGCTAGGATGGACAGAGAACTGTCTGCTCTACCCGATCGATGAACACCACTACCAATGAGTCTTTCTGCCCACTGCTGGGGAGTTGAGAGTGAAACTTTCTTTTTGGTAGTATGGGCCAAATACACATACATTTAATAATATAGTGTCTAATACAATCCTTCAGTGTTTCTTGTATACCATTTTATTTTCCTAAAAATAAATTCTAATTGTTGGGCATGTAGATAGGTATCTCTGTTCACACAGTTACGTGACTTCTGAGCCAGTCCTTGCCCTTGGTTTCCATTCCCAGTTAACAAGCACTGTTGATTTTTCTTGTGTCCTGTGCCATCTGCACTAGACTGTCCCTGACAGTGTGCAGCTACTCTGGGCCTCCGCACCTTTAGACACGTTGTACCCGTATGCAGCATAGGCAGCTGCGGAGGCTGCCGCAGCCCCAGCTTTGGCTCCTGCCATTGCAGCGGCACTGCCTGCTGTCGACTTCCGGCTTCGGCCTTTCCCTGCTGCTTTTGCTGTGCTTCCTGAACCTCTGGGGCGGCCTCGGCTTCGGGCTGACTGGCCACGTCCTGCAGCTGGCATTTCCTGAATGGAAATTCCTGTGAGAACAAATGGTCAAGAGGCAAAAATGAATCTCTTCAAAATGTTAACAGAATCTTCCCCTAACAGGGAAAGCTGATTCTCAGGGTATGCGCTCAAGTGCGCGTGTGCGGTCTCATTATGTTGTGCAGACTAGCCGAGAATTCCTGGGCTCAAGCCATCCTCCTGCCTCAGGGCGAGACTACAGGAGTGCACCACTGTGAGTGGCTTCTCAGGGTGTTTGAGGATTCCTGTCTTTGGTCACTGTATCATACAGAGCACTAAGAGTTCTAAACAGCTGACACAGGCTGACTTCTCAAGCTGCCCTTCTGTCTGAAGAGTGGTTCCACTATTCTGTTACTGAATGAACCCCAAGGACTTGCTACCTGGGGTCTAGCATTCATTTGCATAGACTAAGGTGCTTCCTACTTGGACAGTCAGCTTCTATTTCTAAGCCCCCCCCCTTTGATGCTGGGTATCAAACACAGGACCCCATACTTACTAAGCAGGCATTCTACCATTCTACTGATGAGCCCTATTCTAAGTTTTTTCTTTCTTTCTTTTTTTTTTTTTTTGGTACCGGGGATCGAACTCGGGTCCTTGCGCTTGCGCAGCAGGTGGCAAAACCACTGAGCTAAATCCCTGGCCCTATTCTTAAGTTTTAAACTTAAGAGCTCCCCAAGAAATAGCAGGAACTCTGGGCCTCATATAACAAAGTGAGAAAGTGCCCAGAAAAGCCAATTTTAATTAAAAACTAGCAAAAAATTAGGGCAAATTACAAAAGACAGAAAAAACTAAAAAATAATATTTAAATCTTTGTAAAGTTTTTATTTTGCTTTCCTTATACGTTCTCTTTCTTCCTTTCTCTTGTTAAGGATATTGGGGGGGGGGAAGCCTATAGAATCTTTTTTGCTCCATTCTACTCTTCCTTAAAGAAAAAAAAATCCTTTATCTGCGAAAGAATTAGAATCTCATTCATCACCAAACCAATGCTTTCCATGAGTTAGTAAAGCATGTTCAGGTACACAACAGAGACAGATGGATTACTTACCATTCACGGTGTCTGAGACTGAACCTGTGACAGAAGCAGGAGAGTTGGTGGCTCGAGACTGAGGGGCTGAGGAGGCTGGGTCATCCACGATGACCAGCATGTCACTGCTGCTCTCATCAGGGGGGATGGAGCCAGTGTGCAGCTCACTGCTGATAGAGATCTGCAAGTGGAGTGGTCGAATCACTGATGCCCTTGGTGCCCACACCCTCAGGCCCCGCACCCGAGTGAGAACATGTTCACAGGACATGGCTGATCTCTCTCTGCTGGCTTCCCTGCTGAGGATCAGAATCCCCTGCTTGGTCCTCATCATTTTCTCCTTGTAAATCCCATGTGCAACCCCTTCCACACAGCAGGAAGACTCTAGAGACAAAGGCTGTCCAGCAGCCTATCCCTCTACGAGGCCAGGATGCATTCCCTCAGCTGTGATGAAGATCATCAGGAGCCTCACCTCACTGAAAGGGCTGGGCATGGCCGAATCCACGCTAATAAAGGAGTCATCCCCATCAGCAGAGAGGTTGGAGTTATCAGCAGAAGGAACAAATGGGATCACCAGGTTCACACCCTCTTTCTTCCTTTTCCCATCCAATTCATCTTCCTTTTTCTTCTGGGAACATAAAGATATATGAAAAAGATCATGAGAATATGCTCCAAAAATAAAGTGGAATTAGGAAAGAAAATGGTGACAGAACTTTTATTCTCTATGAATTTCTCAATTACCCCTCTCCCCCCTTTTTGGCAGTACTGCAAATAAAGGACTTTATGTATGGTAGGCAGACACTCTGCCACTGGGCATTGCCCTCAGCCCCTCAATTACCACATTTTTAACAAACTAAAAACTCATAAGGAAGGAGGAAAGAATATTTTACTATAATTATACAGTTACTTTCTTTTAGGTGCTGGGGATTGAACCCAGGCCCTTGCGTATACTAAGCACACTTGCTACCATTCAATAGCACCCTACAATACAGAGCTTAAAGGTAGGCCAGCCATGCTAAGCCAGAGCCACATCCAGTCTGACATTCAGGAGGTGAAGCGTATGCCAGGCTAGGGCAACCAAAGCAGCAGCACTTCTGGGACAGGATGAATGTGGTCTCCAGAAGTGGAGGAGGTTGTTTTATTCTCCCACATACTTTCTGGTGCTGGGAATTGAGCCCAAGGACTCACACAGGCTAAATATGTACTCGACCACTGTACTACAGCATATACTCATCTATAAATTTTAATATATATATACTTTTTTAAAGATGAGGCTTCACTATGGGGCCAGGCTGGTCTTGAACTCCTGGGCTCAAGTGATCCTTCCACCTGAGCCTCCCAAGTAGCTTGTATCAGGCTTGCATCTAGTGATCACCACCAGCCCTTTTTTCTTTTGAGACAAAGTCTCATTAAGTTACTAAGTTGTTCACATTGGGCTCTAACGTCAGTCCTCTTCCTTCAAGTCTCCCAGAGTGCTGGAATTACAGTGTGTGTCAGCACACCTGCTTAGAGTTCCCTACATATTCTTTTAAAGCGTTTATTTAGAGTAGTTGTAAATTTACAGCAAAATTCAAAGGATAGGTACATGTTTTAAATATGCAAAAGGGGAATGAAGGGGCCTATTTATGCCTAAGAAAAAATGGCATTGCTTTTGTCATTATTTCCTAAATTTACATGAAAGCTCTTTAAGGCTGAGTGATTGAAGTACACTTGGCAATTTCAGAATAAGTTCAGTAGGCTCTGTCACAGAATAGGGACTGGAATTACAGAATGTACTTGGATACAGCTAGGAATCTCATCAACCACTGCACCAGTGCATCTATATCTACACTTATTGTAAGAGTAATACTGTACATCTCTGTGCAGTTCATACTGTTACCAGTATTCTCTATTCTGCACCTACAGCAGCAGTTATATGGGATATAAACTGTAATCCCTTTACTGTCCCATGTGAGAAAACCACTTTTTCTTCTTTGGTATTTTTTCTAAATGTTACAACTTTTTAATTTTAAACAGTAGTAAGCAATGGGCTAGGTAAATGTTTGAGGGTAGAGTGACTGAAGCCTGGTGAAATGGGTAGAGATGGCAGCCCAGGCTGGGAGGATCTTGATTTTTCATTCTCAGGACTTTTCAGCTTTGTTAAAGCAGTAAATACCAGGAGAACCCTGCAGGTTAAACAATGTTCTTCTCAGGGAAGTTCAATCGAGGATTGGACTCTTGAGACAGAAGAGCTAGTATATCTACTGGAAGATGATTGCATGACATGAACAGACTCCTAGGCTGATAACTATGGCCTTATGGCCAAAGGGACATAGGACCTTTCTAAGACCCCATGGTAGTGGTGGTGAACCTATGGCACATATGCCACAGTGGCCACGCAGAGCCCTCTCTGTTGGCACTTGAGCCTAGTCTCCTAGCAGCTGAGCATTGGGTAACAGTTGCTTTTTTTTTCTAAACTCAAACCTCAGTATTCAGGTTTAATTGCAGTGTTGGCACTTTGCAATAAATAAGTGGGTTCTGGGTTGCAGTTTGGGTACCTGATCTCTAAAAGGTTTGCCATCATTGCCCTCTGGAATCTAGCAGTGTATGCAGGTAAAACTGATCTTATGTTTGGCACAGGCAAGTGGTTTCCATAATCAAACTGTGACTACAACAAGGTGAGTCTGTGAGGGGAGTATAGCTCTACCAAGGCTGCATTTCTCAAACCTGTCAGCCCACAGCTGCTAAGTTTCACACACAGCTGTGTGTGACCAAGAAGACAAGCTGTGTACCAGAAGCCTGTTCTGTAAGTGTCCCAGGCCCACAGTCCCTATCGGTACTCCAGCCTGGAAATACCTTCTCTGCATACTTTTCCCGCTTGCGCTTGCGTTCTTTCACACGGTTGGTTTCCTCCTGCTGTCGTTTCTCTTCCTGCCGTAGTCTTACTACCAAGGAAAAAATATTATGAAAAACCTGTGGCAATCATAATCCTATTCTCTAAATTTAAAGGATCATATCCTCCGATGTTGACACTGTAGGTATGACTAGTCTGTTTAAGGCAGGTAATTGGTGGTTTTCCAACACAGAGAAAGAATAGAGTTCCTAGATTCTCAACAGCTTTTGGGTTCAAATCATGACTCCACTCAATGATCCTGGGCCTTTCTCTGCCCCCAGCCTCTGTTCAACTATTGTCTGGACTTTTAATATTTCTGTACTGCAGAGATCAACAAAATGTTTTCCGAGGGTGCTGGGAAACATCAGCTTATTTCTGATGTGTTTCTGTGGAAGTCCTCAGAAGATCACAGGATAAATCTGAAACCCAATGTTCTCAAAAGCCAGAAACATGTAGGAGAGGGGCTTGTATGGTTAGAGCAATGTAGGCCTTCAAGTTTTCTATGAAAATAGTAAATACATTACTGCTGAGGAGTTGGTCATAGCCTCCCTCCCTGTGTAAGCTGAAAGTATATTTGAAGTCACATTTACTTTTTTGTGGGGGTGCTGGGAATCAAACTCAGGACCTTGCCCTTCCTTGCAAGGCAGGCAAGGCGCCACTGAGATAAATTCCTGGCCCAGATGTTCTTTTAAAATACAAACAAATTTTGCCCTGTATTCCATAAAATACCCTTGTTTAGGTCTTCCTATAAAATGACAATATACAAATGTGCCCTCCAATACACTCTGGCTTTGTCCAGCCTTGGCAAGTGCACCTTCTGCTCCCAGGCCACAGGCTGCAGTATTAAGAGTACATACGTTTCTTCTCCAACTCTTCATCGTCTAGCAGAAGACTAACCACCTCCTTGGGTTTCAAGGTATCAGGCTTGAAGTTCCCACCTGAAATCACCATTCGCTGAATCTACATAAAGGAGATCAAAACATCATCTCCAGGCATCCATTCCCTCAAAGCAAATATGGCAAGAGAATAAACAACTCTCAACTTGTTCCTCAGGGAAGGCCTCTATTGCCCTATTTCTTTCTTGTTTATCCGATTGGCTCCTCCAGGTTATTGGCTAATAGAACAGTAAGAACTTATTTGCTTGGGACTGTTAAACTGACAGCCAGCAAGCCCAATAATACTGAATTAGGATGGAGAAAACTGGTTTCTTTGGAAACTTGGCACACAACTAAGATGCAGGTAAGCTGAGTTATTAGGATTAGGGCTCAAAAATGTCACCCTTTGCCGGGGATTTAGCTCAGTGGTTCCACCCACCGCCTGCCTCAAAAGTGCAAGGTCCCGAGTTCGATTCCCATTACCAGAAAAAACAAAATTGGAAAAATGTCACCCTTCCTCCTTTGAATCTAAGAGCGTGTCTAACATGAGGGTCCTCACTTGACTCAATCTGCACCGAGCAGCAGCCAAGACTGCCACTGTACAGACTCAGGCCCTATTTTCTATGTAAAAGAAATTCTAGTTTCTTCATGATCAATGAAAAGGAAGACAGTCTTAAACAATATTAGTCCAGTCAACATGGCTAAATTCCTATTCTCTCCACCAGCCCAGTTAGCCCTTTCCTGTGTGCTTACCTCACTTTTCTCCTTGGCTCTCTGCAGAATCCGCTCCTCGATGGTACCTTTACAGATGAGCCGATACACAGTAACCTGCTTTGTCTGCCCCAAGCGGTGGGCCCTGTCCATGGCCTGCTGGTCTACAGTGGGGTTCCAGTCACTGTCATAGAAAATCACCTGCACAGACAAGATGAGAATATAGTCAAGAGTGCACCATGGTCTGGGTAGAACAACCCAGCCACTCATCTGTTTGCAATGGTTTGGTGTGGGAAGGGTCAGATTTCTGTGGTAGCAGGATGAGAAGATATATCTTGTCAGAAGACCAAGGCGTTTCTTCATTTGGTCTGGGCTCCTGGCCTTTTCAACATTCATTTAAAAGAAAGAACAATCTGGTGTGATGACACATCCTTTCACTCCCAGCTACTCAGGAGGATCACTGGAGCCTAAGAGTTTGACATCAACCTGAGCAGCAAGTCATGACTCCCACCTCTTGAAGGAAAAAAAAGTGGCTGGGCAAGGTGGCACACGCCTGTAATCACAGCACTCAGAAGGCTGAGGCAGGAGGATTGCTGCAAGTTTGAGGACAGCCTGAGCTACATAGTGAGTTCAAGGCTGGCCTAAACTACATGGTGAAATACTGCTGAAAAAGTCAATAAGGACTGGGGATTTAGCTCTCTGGGGCCATTGCCTGCCTCGCAAGTGCAAGTTCAATCCCTGGTACCCACGCCCCCCAAAAAAATCAAAAAGAAAAAAATGTATGTTAGTATCACTAATACTTAACCCTTGGTGCAGCCATTGTTCCAAGACAATTACCACAATATCCTTGACTTGGGGACTATTAACACCTCCATTTTAGGTCAGGGATGTAGCTCAGTGGTAGGGTGCATCGGCATGTGCAAGGGGAGTTTGATCCCCAGCAGTGAAAAAAGAAAAAGAAAGCCTTTCATGTTATAGATGTTATAGATGAAAAAACTGAGGCAGAGAGAAATTAGAGAATTTGTCCAGGACACACAGCCACACAGCAGGTGGTGCTCAGTGTGAGGAATGGGTTTAATCTCTTAATCACTGAGCTACTTTGGAAAGACAATGCATGGCTTTCCTGGCACTCTGGCTCCCATCAACAGGATCAATTCCTGTTCCAAGAATTCCAAGGATGGAATGTTTAAAGGATTCCTTGGAAGTTACTTTTAAGTTTGCTAAGCAATAAACAAACAAACAACAAATTATACCACTATCAAGTGATCCTAGATTCTACAGACTTCTGGGTCTTTGGCCCTTAAGGCTACTACTGAACATGCTGAACCTCCTAAAAGAATCCCAGGTCAAAATAGCCATCATTCTCCATGTGTTTCCTCTCTATCTAATCAAGTCACCAAGCTGGGCCAGCATTTCTTCAAATAAACCTGTGCTTCCTACTGTCCCATTGCTACCATTCTGACCCAGAGCCTCACCCCTCCACCTGGATCACTAGTGCTCCATTGTATCAAAGGGCTCCCAGGTCTCATTTGTCTTCTTCAGTCTACCTTGAGCTCTACTGCAGACTCCTCCCTCCCCGTTATGCTGTAACATGCTTAAGTCCCAATTCCCCTACAAAACTGGGCTCTGCTGTAGTAAGCCAACTTCATTTCCTATTTGTTCCCTTTTGTTAGATGAGTTTTTCCAGTGTTCTCACCTACGTTTGTTTGTATGCATCTCTTTTCATCAAAGTTCTTTCTCTGACCTAGAATCTCAATTCTTTTTTTGGTGGAGATGCAGACTGAATCCAAGGTTTCACACACGCCAGGAAGCACTCTACCACTGACTCACATCACCAGCCCCCATCTCCCTTTCTTTATGGGTCCTTTTAGGCTTAGTTCCAGCTCTGACACTTCCAGGAAGGCCTCCCTAATTTCTGTCTATTATGATGTCTTATTTTCCTATTCTTAAATTCCTCTTACAAGTAGTAAGGGCTAAACTCTGCTGAGACCTTACTGTGAGTCAGGTACTAGTGTGCATACATAGCTCTCTGCATTCTCACCACAATCCAGTGAATAGCCTCCACCTTACTAACAAGGAAGAGACTGGCCTGAAATCACAATGATCAGCTGAGCTGGGGTCTGACCAAATGATCTTTAACACTAGGTACTTTGTTTGAAGTTCAGGCTGGCCTCGAACTCAGTGCCGATCCTCCTGCCTCAGCCTCCCCTATAGGCATGCACCAGCACTCTCACTAGAACAGTACTTTGTACTGCCTATCTTAGTTCAAGTGCTCACTTAATTACCATCTTCTGGGGGTGTTCATTTATTTCATGTGTGCCATTTTAAAGAGCGAGTTATCTTTCTTGAAACTGTTTCTCTGATCCTTTTTCCAATCATTAACACTGTTCCAAGGGAATTTATCTGTGTTCTCATTTAAAGAGGGAGGCAGCTGGGTGGCATGCTTGTAATCTCAGCTACTTGCAAGGCTAAGGCAGGAAGACAGGAAGTTCGAGACCAGCCTGGGCAACTTAGCAAAACCCTGTTTCAAAATAAAAAGCCAAAAAGGCCTGAATATGTAGCTCAGTTGTAGAGTGTTCCTGAGACTGATCCCCAGTACTGCAAAAAAAGAAAAAAAAAGGCCATTCTTTGCAGAGTTCAGATCTTGGATGAAGATGGACAAAAGTTATCAGCATTTTCAATGCTCTTGCCTCTATTAATAAGACACCCTCTGCCCCAACTGATTTTCTTACAGTGGGCTTCTGGTTTTGGTTTTTTTTTGGTACCAGGGGATCAAACTCGGGTCCTTGCGCTTGCAAGGCAGGCGGCAGAGCCACTGAGTTAAATCCCCAGCCCTGGTTTTGCTTTTTAAACGAGTTAGAATCCTTCACATTTTTTTGGTACTTGTTTTAGACAGGGTCTCATTACATGAGGTGTGATGTAAAAATACAGTGAATATTTAGAATTTTTTTTTTTTAGAAATTTTTATTACAGTAAAAGACACATTAATCCCCCTTAAAATACTCTTCACTTCAAACACTTATCCCATCATTTTTGCCACTTTCTGAAGCAGTTCTAGAACTCCTCTTTTGTTAATTTTGCCTTTGGGGAAGAGCCAAAAGTGTCATAGTGCCAGATTCTATAAATAAGGTGGATGAGGATACACCATAACATTTTTGAGTCTGCCTTTCTGTTACATGGAACTCAGCAGCAGCATTCACTGGATTTTTTAAAAATCACACCTTGTAAAGACACAGATATGTTCATTCTAACAATGGGATAAGTGTTGAAGTGAGAAATATTTTTAGGGTATTAATGGCAATGTGCCTTTTACTATAATAAATTTTTAAAAATTTAAACATTCACTGTATATCCTGATCACCCCTTGTACAGTCCAGGCTGGCCTTAACCTCATGACCCTCCTGTCTTGGCCTCAATACCCAACAAGATCGCTCCAATTTTAGCACAGGTTAGAATCCTTGGGGAGGAAACTGCAAACTGCCTGTCAATGAAAAATTCTTTGTGAAAGAAATCTAGTGTTCCCAGATCTGACTTGTCACTTGTAGAGGAGCATAGTAAATCTGACCCCAAGATATTTTAGGGGTTCAAACACGATATACAAAATTCCAGAAAGTCCATTTTAAGCATGGACAATGAGAATATCGTAAGGAAGGACAGACTGAACAAAAAGGAGACCTGCTGGATCCATTTAACATCTCTAAGTGACACACATGTAGACTCAAACCTGGGGGAATGAGTCAGCATGATTCCACCATGGAGAGGCCAATATGAATTATTGCATAGGGACGGCCGGAACGTTTACTTTCCTAGAAGTCTCAGTGGTAACCACAGCCCTGATTCAACATGGGTTCTTCTGGTCTCACCAGCAGTAAGATTAAAGCTCAAGTTTACAATTTAACTTCAAAACAATCTGAAATTTAGTGGCTATTCATCTTTTTAAATGGATTAAAAGAAATGAGAGATTGTGAAGACAACAGAATAGGATGCTTTATAAAAAAATACACAGAGGAAAAAAATAATGAAATATGTTTAAGACAATCAACAGGTTAAAACAAGAATAAGAGGACTGGGGATGTAGCTTGTGGTAGAGTACTTGCCTAGCATTCTGGAAATTCTGGGTTTGCTCCCAGTACCGCCAAAACCAAAACGAAACAAAATAAAGCAAGAGTGAGAGTGGGAAAATGAGAAACCACAACAGACAGATGTTTGCTATCTAATTTGAAAACCAAACAAACACTGGGTTACTCATGATGTGAAGTAGGGGGACTGGTGGGGGCAGACAAGTCACCAGAGAGGGACAGAAATAACACCTATATTTCCTCATCAGGTTTAGGGAGCTCAGTGAGACATTCTAGGAAAAAACTAGTAACAATTATAAGACAGAACAACTGACTTCCTAGGAAAGATTAAAACAAGTCAACCTACAATGCGTGGCCCAGCAATGACTAAGGAGAAATATATGAATGTCAGCACCTTCCTAAAGTTGTAAACACCAAGCCTTGCAGGCATGGGGGAAGGGAGGGGAGAGCTGAGATGGGGTGGAGGGGCTGCTATGTAGGTTGATGAAAGGAGAGTTTCAGAAGATGTTTAATGTTTTTATTAATCTGGCCAAATTCCTCTTGCTCACAAATACATGTTTACATATTAATTCTCAAACATGAGACATTCAGTTTTTCCTGACATGTTAGGCTAACCTCTTCCTTGTACATAAATGGTTCTGGGATCTCCCAAAGCTAAGAGCAAAGGAAAGAAGCCAGATAAATAGTTAAACCTATTGTTTCTCTCTCTCTCTCTTGCGCGCGCGCGCACACACACACACACACAGCAACAGCACTAACTTGAATTCACACAAAACAAAACATAGCCTAAGAATTAATTTCAATCTTATTATTCCATTTTTCTAAGGAATATTGTAGACCTTCTATTTTACAAGTGAATCCCAAATTATATTAAAATATAATTATTTTGGAATTTAGAGTCAGAGCAGGAAAAGCCTCTCTATTCTCTAGTATGAAAAAGGAATTCCTAAATTCTATTCCTCTAGGGTTAGGGGCCTAGGTCTACTTTGGGTCTTTGTGGCTGGGAGGAGTTTCTTACTCCCACAGGATAAGCTACGAAACCTTGTAAGCATGATGCAGACTTCCTCCAAATCTTTTTATCTTTTTGACTGCTATTCAAATGAACAACCAGAGAAACTATTTCTTTAGAAACTGTAGACCAAACCTGAGAGAGGGAAGATAGGAAGGGAAACACCATTAAAAAAAAACAAACTTAGGTAGATCCTCCAAGGTGATCTCATTCAGCCTCAGCCTTAAATATTATAGATGATCTGATGAGTCCAAAATGTATCTTCAGCCCCAATTTTTAATCCTACTGCCTACCTGGCATACCACTTTTTTTTTTTAACCTGGCATGCCATTTAATGTCTGATGCTCCTGGTTTTCCCACTTCCACATTTCTTCTAGTATTTCATACTCTACCTCACACCCACAACAGAAGCCAGAGGGACACATTTAACATTCAAGCTAAGCCGGGCATGGTGGTATGAGCTGTAGTTTCGGAGCAGGCAATACAGCGAGACCCTGAGCCTGTCTTGAAGACCACACCAAACCCAAGCTCCACTGTGTCCCCTGTTCCAGTTCTAGCACCACGCCAGAATCCACCCTATCTCAAAAGTCCTTTTTTTTTTGAGACAGGGTCTCACTATGTGGACCAAGCTGGCCTCAAACTCACGATGTTGCCCAGGCTGGCCTTGAATTTGAAGCAATCCTCCTGCCTCAGCCTCTCAAGTGCTGGGATTATAGTCAGGCCCATCATGCCAAGCTCAAAAGTCTTTACCATGGCCTACTAAGCCCTGTAGGACCTGCTTCTAGGACACCCATCTCTGATTACTCTCTCCTCACTGATTGTACCTGCTCTGGGATCCTTACTGTTCTTTGATTACGCCCAGCATGTTCTCACCCCAGGGCTTTGCACTTATCTCCTCAGCCTGGAATGTGCTTCTTTCTGCCAGACAGATGCTCTGGCTGGCTTCTTTACTTTTCTCAGATCTTGCCTCAAATGTCATCTTATCAGAGAGGCCTTATCGACCCATATAAAATAGCAACTCTGATCATTCTACCACTCCTCACCTGCATTTTTCTCCATAATATTCATATTGGGTCTTTAAGTTTTGCTTATACTATATCTCCCACTCCCACTCCACTAGAAATGTAATTCCTAGTAATTAAGAGGACAGAAATGAACTTCATTTTGTTGCATGCTGAATTCCTAGTGCCCAAAACAGTGCTGGGTCTTGGCTGATGCTTACTATGTGTGCTGAGTGAATGAATGAGCAAATGAAGGAACTGGTCCATGCTGTGGTCAAACTCTAGTATGTACAGGGCCGGGGATTTAGCTCAGTGGTTTCGCCACCTGCCTTGCAAGCGCAAGGACCGGAGTTTGATCCCTGATACCAAAAAAAAAAACCAAAAAACAAACTCTAGTATGTACAACTACTTGCAACATAATGTGATAGCTTGAGTAGGATGAGAGGACTGGAAAGGGAGAGACACGTGAGTGAGGTTTGAAAACAAATGGAAAGTTTGCCAGGTGGAGAGGTGGCTCACAGGAACACAATCGAGGTGCGGAAACACTGACTGCAACAGTACCATTAACATGGGCATTCAGAAGACTAAAGGTGAGTCATTTATCTTCTGGAACATACATTTTGGAAGGGAAAGTGTTCTGCCAATTAGGCTGGGAAGGTAGAGGCATAAAGGCCATAATGAAGAGTCTGGACGTAGCTGGGTATGGTGACACACACCTGTAATCCCAGCACTCGCAAGGCTGAGGCAGGAGGATTATGAGTTAAAGCCAGCCTGGGCTACAGTCAGGCCCTGTCTCAACCAAACCAAACCAAACAAAACAAAACCAACCAACCAAAAAAATAACCTTGTACACATGTAAGGGAGCTTAAACTTCATCTTATGTATGACAGACAGTTCCTGAAAAGTTTTGCAGTAAAGGACTAAAAGGGTTACTAATAGAATAAGAGCACAGCAAAGAATGAATATGGATTAGCAGGTATGGGGTGGGGGCTGAAGACTGGAGCCCAAAAGATCAGCTAGGAGGAAGCAATGAACCTTGTTCTCACAACACTCAGAGTATGACTACATTGGGATTGTGTGGAAATGCTTAACAGAAGAGCAGAGAACCAAGAAAAACAAGGACGAGGGGTTAAGTTTCCACTGTCTGATACGGCATGACCCACCACACAAGAGAACCCAGAACACCTCTCACCACTGACAGTCTTCCTTCAAGATGGCAGCGGTTGGTGATGTGCATCTACCCAGCTGTGCCCCCAGTGGTCCTCAGGCCCTGAAACCCTGGTCCATCTGGTTAACTGGCTAAAGAGGTTTAAATGGCAAGGAAGGGACAGCTGATTCTTATAGTGATACTACAGAATGTGACTTTTTCTTGAAGGCAGGCAGTTTAATAACATAGTAGTTGATAAAGAGAAAGCGTGAGCTGGCAGCTATGGGACAAGCTTGTAATCCCAGTTGCTTGGAAAGATAAAGAAGGATCACCTGGGCAATTTAGTGAGACTTGCCTCAAAATTTTAACTGGTTTTAGTAGCATATGTCTATAATCCTAGCATTCTGGGAGGCTGAGGCAGGAGGAGTGCAAGTTTAAGCTTAGCCTGATCAATTTAATAACTCAGTGAGAATGTGTCTATAAATTAAAAAAAAAAAAAAAGGCTGGGGATGTAGCTCAGTAGGAAGGCCCTGGGTTTAATCCCTAGTACCCCCAAAACAAAACAAAAGAAAACAAAAAACAAAGTGTAGGCCAGGGATATAGCTTAGCAGCGCAATGCCTGCCTAGTAAGCACAGGGCCTGAGTTCAATTTCCAGTACCAAAAACAACAACAACAACAAAAACAAAGGGAATAAACAGGAAAGACCAAAAGGAAAGCAAAATGCTCATGAATGGCATGTAATAGAAACCTACTATACAAGTGTTCTGCATCGAGAGGATGTGCTCTCTCTCATTACTTACTGTATCCGCAGCTGTGAGATTGATACCCAGTCCTCCAGCACGTGTGCTTAACAGGAACACAAAGATGTCATTCCTGCAGAAAAGGGAGGAAAACGTTAAAGGGAAAACTGAACAGGAGAAAGGGAACATGGTCAAAGAGCTATCTTTGTATACAGAACATGGGGTCCAGGCCCAGAAAGTGTTTTGGAGGTTACCTAGGCCTACTGATGCTCCCTTGAAAAACTATACACAGGAGCTCTGTTGCTAAAACCACATGATGGAAATCATCTTCCAATCTGCACAGAAATTTTGCCACCCATTAGTATGTGACTGATAGGCAACAGAACCATAAACATGTAGTAAACATAAGGAAAAAATGTCACCATGGAAGCAGAGACCTTTCTCCACACTGACAGTCACTTATTTATTCATTTAAGATTTTTGAGATAGGGTCTTACTATGTAGTTCAGGCTGACCTTGAACTCACTATATAGCCTAGGCTGGCCTTGAACTTGAAGTCATCCTCCTGCATCAGTGTCCTGGCTACTGGGATTACAGGTATGCATTACCACCCCTGGCAGACAGTCATATTTTTAACAAAGTCAAACCATTTTTAGTTCATATAGAGAAGCCAAATAAATCAGTATTTCCTGGTGCTTCCCTTGAGAATAATGAACTCCAATAATGTAGTTTGGTAACTAATGATTATTATTTCAAAGCACTCATTTTAAGATGAAGAAAGTTAAGTCCCAGAAAAATAACCTTAGATCAGGAACAAAGATCCAACCCATGACTTCTACGTACTAAATTGAATTTAAGATTAATCCATGAAGATAGGGTGAAATTAAAGTACTTCTGGATGAATGCCAACACAGCTCCTACATAAAAACAGTTAGATATTTTCTGCTTTCTCTTGCATCCTGGGTCCTTTTGTATGTGTATGTGTGGTGCTGGGATCAAACTCAAAGCTTTACACCAGCTAGGCAAGCACTTTACCACTGAGCCTCATTCTCCAGTCCCAATCCTTTTAAAGAAATGTAGAATCACAAATAGTCACTCATACTGGCAACAAATACTTACTGAACACAGTACTTTCTAGGAAAAAAGTCCACACCAGATCACCAGGAACAGGCTTCTAAGTATAAGATTTATCTCACAAATAAATGGGCTCAGCTGTAGCCTAATTCTTGCAAACAGCAAAAATGTATTGTAAGATTACTTGCATTTTCATGTTCCTGCCCTCTGTTATTTTCTAGCACGTTTCTTTTCTTTTTTTTTGGTATCAGGGATCGAACTCAGGACCTTTCGCGTGCAAGACAGATGTGGGCACCACTGAGGCAAATCCCTGGCCTGGCTAGCACATTTTGAAGAGAGAAACTGTATTATGTTAGTGAGTAAACTTGACAATACTATAAAGCAAACTGTTAATCCCCCTTTTTCATGTCTATAGAAAGGAATACAACTAGGAATTCATTCAGATCAGTGTTACTCAAACTATAGGTCATGAAATCAGTTTGGAGGATATAGACAGACTGCTTTAATGAAATTAAAGCAAAAATAGAGCAAATTAGAGAATATTCTAGTGTGTCACAGGTCACAAAGGCTAAGAACCATTTTGTAGTTCTGGATTTTGTACAGGGGTAATAAATTATAAGGTAAAATTTCATGGGGGAACAAAAAGCATCAAGCATTCTGTCCCTTCAGGCAATTCTTCCTCAGTAAAGTCACTGGACTGCTAAAATCTTTTTCCTGGACTATAAAATAAGGATACCCTGAATATAGTTAAAGTGACTAACTGGTGACACAGCATCATCAAACTTGAATGTCAGTGAAGGAACTATTCTGAAATAAGCATCCCGGTTAATCATAATCACTGGGTAGGTCCTGGTGGACATCTGCCCATTATTTGCATTCAATTAAACATAGCTTTCCTAGACAGACAGATTATAGAGTACACTGGGAGACCCCTTGTAGGTCATGATTCTAAAAACTTTGTATACCTAGGGAAGGGTCTATTAGTCTATCCTTGAATCAATCTATTTCTCTTCCCTCTCCCTCTCTTCCTTATTTATTCAGCAGTACTGGGGATTGGACCCAGAGCCTTTGTGCCTAACTACATTCTGAACTCTTTTATTTTATTTTGAGAGAGGGTCTTTCTGGGTGCTAAACTGCTGAGTTAGAGATTAAACTTAAACATCTTGGTTCAGCTTCCTGAGTAGCTGGGATTAAAGGCATGTACCACCACCCTTGGCCTATTATTAATTTTTTTTTTTTTTTGGTTTGGTTTTTTTGAGAGAAGATGTCATTATGTAGTTCAGGATGGTCTTGAATTCACTATGTAGCCCAGGCTAGCCTTGAACTTGCAGTGATCCTTCTGCCTCAGCTTCTTGAGTGCTAGATTACAGATATGTGCCATCATGCTGGGCTCACAAGGAATTTTTTCATAATTCTGAAAAAGTCCGCTGTCTGAGCACAGTGTAGAAGTTGGTGGAGGAAACAGATATGGAACAAGGAAGGAAGATGCAAGGTAGCTGAGAAGTAGAACAAAAGAATGGGTAGAGGCAGAAAGGTAGGCCATTCCCAAAGTCTAGACAGCTCGAGAGCTTAGTCCCCAGATATGGTAACCACTTGCAAACAGGGACTATATACAGGAAAAAACACTAGAGAAAGCAATGTAGGTAAACATAAATTAACAGAAAAGAATCAGAAATCTTATGGATTACAGAAATTTTGGGTTTTTAATTAAGGAAGTTAGTTTCTATCTGGATTACACTGTTGGATTATTTATAAACAAAAACATCTAATCAAACTGCTGAGAAGTTCCTTCCTACTCAATATAGCCAGTATTGATAATGCAAGTTAATGTTTTGACATCTCTGAATGAAGAGAAAAAAGCAAAATCCTGGGTGGCAACAGGGTGGTTTGGGTGCCCTCTAGGGGCTGGAACAGAATCTCATCCAGGGTCTCTGGGAACAGGCCCAAGAGATCAGGCTTCAGGGTGGTTTGTAAAGAGGCCTCAGAAAACCAACCATGCATATTCTCTCTCTCTCTCTCCTCCTCTCCTCTCTCCTCTCCCCTCCCCCCTCCCCCCTCTTCTCTCCCTTTCTCTCTCTCTCTCTCTCTCTCTCTCTCTCTCTCTCTCTCTCTCTCTCTCTCCTGAAGCCTCTCTGCATCAAAATACACAAATAGTGCTAGGCATGAACAGACTGCAATAAAGGTTTGTTGAATAATTGAAAAAGAACCCAAATGAAAGAAGACAGTGGAGCTCTACATCACTCTTAGCAAGACAGAAAAATCAGTGCTACAGCCACTTTTCCTCATGTTTGCCAAAAGGACACCCTAGTGGTCAGTGGGCTGAGAAGGCATCCATCTGGTAAAGGTCATGGGGTAGGAAGAGGAAAGCAAAGGCCAAGACACCACAGAGCAAAGACCTTGTGAATGGCTTCTAGGATCACGCACTGGTCACATGTTCTGAACACTGCCTGGTCAGGACATCCTGGCTAAACAGTCTTTAGTCTCAGTCAGACTTTTTCCTGGAAGGATCCCTCATAAATAAATCTTGTATGAAGGGAATGTAAATGGCTTTTTATAGGAGTTCTTGTTTATTCTGGCTGACCTTTGAGTCACAGGGCTTTCCAGTTGAAAACTACATTTTTTAATTTTGATGTTTTTTCATTAATGACAAAAATGTTTAGCAAGTCAGGTCTTTTTGTTCCCCTAAACACCTGTCTTTCTCTCCACACTGGGCTACTTCAGGGACTCAAACTTCTAAGTGGAGAACTTTTCTCCATTTGGAGGTGTCAGCATGATATCCTTCTGGTCACTGTAGGCACGATTTGGACACATACATCAGAAATAGATGATTTCCTAGCCATAATCTTTTTTGTTGTTGTTTTTGTTTTTCGTACCAGGACCAAACTCAAACTCATGACTTTGTGCTTGCAAGACAGGTGCAGTGCCACTGAGCTAAATTCCAGGCCACTTAAACTATTCCCTAAGTAATTCTGTTGTAGGGTTTAGAGGCTCAAATAAGGTTCCTTAGTAAAATCTATGCAAGTAAGATTTTTACTAAGTAGATCTAGTACAATTACCAAATACACTATTTTCTTTGGAAAATAAAACACTACTAGGTGAAATATCTATTAATTTATGACTTTTAGCCCACAGTGCTCACTGCCTCATATCAACATGCCTACATCATAAATAAGCCAGCCTGATGGGAGAAAATCTGTACAGGCACTCTAGGGAAATATACTGTATACAGCGTACATGACATCAAGCTCTTGGCAGAGCTCTGTGGCTGGAGCAGGCAGGGGTATGACATAAAGTACTTCAATGACTTTACAATCAAAGGAACGTGATCATCTGGTAAACCTTTTTCCTCTTTTTACCATAACAGGGCTAAGATCCACTGCTATGCTTATACATGTTTCAAAGAACTGATTTTAGAATCTGCTAATGGCTTCCATAGGTGAGAGAAACTAGGTCAGACTATCTCCACAGGTGCTCCAAGGTAATAAACTGAAGTAGGTCAAAGTGGATCTTCCCTTCCATTGTTGACTGAACAGTTGCCTGGAATCTTGGCATATAGCTTTTTTTTTTGGGGGGGGGATATAGTTTTAACTTATAAATTACTGGCCTATGTATACAGGTCACTAAATCAAAACATCAGGATATGTATCCTTACTTACGTTCTATTGTAAAGAACATTCTCAACCAGAAGCTATGTTAAACTAAGAATGTTTTTATGCAAACTTATATTGTATCTGAGTTAAACCATGCTTTAAAACTGAAATGAGAGAAATTAAAAATAGTAACATAAACATAAGTAGCTATGTGCATAATTTGCTTCCCAAGAATTATAAAGTTAAATATTAACAAGCCAGACAATTAAACTCTACAAAGTCAAGACTATTCTGATTATCAGACCTTTCTTCGTCAGACCTTTATTCTTCAATTCTCCAGGTCTAACAAAGAAAATTAAGGGTGGAGTTTAGCAGACCTATCACCAGGAGAGCTTGGCTTTCTCCTTGGAGAGAGCAGTAACTAGACTCTGCTTACTACAACAAGAAGCAGCACTCAGGATAATTATGACCCTGTAAGGCATCAGCACTCAGCAGGCATTATGTGAAATTTCATAGGCTCATTAGCAGGTGGGAGAGGTACTGTGACAGAGCCACTGGCTAAACAGAGTGCACCCTAGTACAATTTATCATACTGTACAGTATTGCCACAATGCTAAAAAGGAAGGTATTTTTCCTTAAGTTTATATGAAATGAAATGCCAAGACAAATTAAAAATCAGCTCTAGGGGCTAGAGATTTAGCTCAGAGGTGCTTCCACCTGCCTCACAAGCGCAAGGGCCTGAGTCTGATCGCTGGTACGAAAAAGAAAAAAAAATCAGCTCTAAGTCAACACCTGGAGATGGCTACTATTAACATTTGAGGAAAAACAAACAAACAAACAAACAAAATTTGAGAATACAATCTTGAACTTTTTTCTAAATACACATTACCCACTGAGAAGGATCTTTGTGCATACTCAAGACATTCTTTTGTTGCCCAACAAAATAGGGACTGATGTAGTCAGAAAGAATATTTAAAACACAAATATAAGCTGAGTGTGTTGGTGCACGCCTGTAACTCCAGCACTCTGCAAGGCTGAGGCAGGAAGGTCGCAAAGTTCAAGGCCAGCCTGCACAACTTGGTGATACTCAAAAGAAAAAAAAATTAAAACTTTTTAAAAAGGGGGGCAGGGATTTAGCTCAGTGGTTCCGCCGCCTGCCTTGCAAGCACAAGGTCCTGAGTTTTTATCCCTGGTACCAAAAAAAATTTTTTTAAAAAAGGGCTGGGGATGTAGTTCAGTGCAAAGGTCCTGAGTTCAATCTCTAGTACTGCGAAAAACCAACAAAAAAACCACACACATAAAATGACTAAATACATTCTCTCTGTCTCTCATTCACATAAATCTGAATCCTATAAGCCGATGTAGCAACCTCTTAAAATGTTAGGCACTATATTGTGATTGCTTAATAAACTAAGATGTATTGGCATTTCTTTTAAACTTACCATTTCAAGTACTAAAGGAAAATAAAAATAAGAATATTTATAATTTCCATTAAATGTTACCTGTTCTGAAAATCAGCAACCATGTCCCGCCTCTCTGAGATCTTGGATGAGCCGTCCAGCCTCATGTAGGTATGTTTCTTATAAACCATGTACTCCTGCCGACCAGGACATAAAAGTTTAGAATAAGTCTCATGAGAATAACGATATTCAACTCTCCCAAGCATGTACTCCCCCTTCTATCTATCTCATCCATACTGAGCAGAAGTCATTATTTCCAGAATAGAAAGAAAGTAAGACCAAAAGCACAAGAACTTAATTTGTAAATGAGTTTACTGCCAGTGTATGAAAACTGAGAACAGCCTGAATCCTCAAATTCAACTTGGAACCTAGTCTTATTCCCACAGATTTCCACAAGCTTTATTGGGGGGGGTTATAAAACAAAATCAAAATGAAATTCCAAAATAAAGAAGTTCCCTGGGCTGGGGATTTACCTCAGTGGTTCCAGCGCCTGCCGTGCAAGCACAAGGTTCCGAGTTCAATCCCTGGTACCAAAAAAAAAAAAGAAATTCCCAAACCAAAATGGCTTTTCAGTCACCAACCAGATGTTCTTCACAGCTATGAACATATCCAGTTTTCTTTCGGTGTTTTTTCGCACTGGAGATCAACCTCAGGGCCTTGCACTTGTGAGGCAGGCACAGCGCCACTGAGCTAAAACCCCAGCCCTCTTTCAGTGATTAACATGTATCCTAAAGTGCACCCTGACCCCCTCCAAGTGCTTGATAATTGAAGTCCTGGAATTTACAGCCTCAGTATCAGAGTGAAAAGGAGACAAAGTTATTTTCCCTGGCACAGGAAGTTGTGGGCATCATACGTAGGAGGAATTGTAACTTTTAAGAATGGAGAGGAGATTTCAAGATACAATGGAGCGAAAGCTGCAATTCCTTTCACAGATGATGTGCAAATGAACACTGACTCTTTTATGACCTCTAATTACACTACAAAAAGCCCACTGTAGGGAAACCAATGCCAAGAGCTCAACACAGCTGCCTATTTATAAGAAACAACTGCACCAGTTACCACAGTCCTTCATCCATGGTACCACTTTACTTGGTTTCAGTTACCCACAGTAAACTGTTGTCCAAAAATAGTAGATGGAGTATTCCAGAAATGAACAATTCATAAATTTTACTTTTATTTATTGGTGTAATTATCCTATCTTATTATTATGGTTACTATTAATCTCCTACTGTTCCTAATTTATAAACTGAACTATCATATATATACATATATAAGGAAAAACAATATATAAGTTTTATACTATCCACAAGTTCCAGGGATCCACTGGGGGTCTTGGAATGTACCGTCCATAGATGGGGGCACTACTGCATTTTGGTCCTAAAATAACTTTTTTTTTTTTTTTTTTTGAGATAGGGCCTTTTCATGTAGTTCAGACTGGGCTTGAACTCACTATGTAACCCAGGCTGGTCTTGAACTCATGGCGATCCTCCTGCCTCAGCTTCCCGAGTGCTGGGATTACAGGCATACACCACCACCATGCCCAGCTTAAAATAACTGTAACTTTTTTTCCCCATTTTTTTGGTTGCTTTTTTTTTTTTCTTTTAGCAAAACATTTAACTTTATTTTAACTTTAAGACTAATTTTAAGACTAATCATTTCTACATTTGGGAAATATCTGTGTTAGTTTTCTGTGCTCAAATGTTCTCTCTCTCTCTCTCTCTCTCTCTAATACTGGGAATTGAACCCAGTGAACAACGAGCTACATCTCTAGCTCTTTTTATTTTTTTCTTTTGAGATAAGGTCTCAAAATAATCAGCCCAGGCTGGATTCAAATGGGTGATCTCCTGGCCTTGGGCTGCTGAGTAGCTGTGATAGCAGGGTGTGCCCTCACACCTGACTTATTCTTAGGTCTTATACCCATGTGGATATTTTAGCATACAAGGTTTCTGCAGTCTAGTATGGCTGGTACAGTGTGCATGGCGGCCTATTCTTAGACAAAGTGAGTGTAAAGAATGTGCAGAAGGGGCCTGGGATCTAGCTCAGTGGTTTCGCTGCCTGCTGCTAAGCACAAGGACCAGAGTTCGATCCCCCGTGACCCCACCCCCGCCAAAAAAAGAATGTGCAGTTGTAGGCGAGGGTACCTGTTGAGGTGAAGCCAACAACAAAAGCAGACAAGCTCACTGAGGAACATATCTTTCATTGTGTTTTGTAAACCCTTCCCAGCAACTATTCCTTTCTGTCGCAGAGTAGTTCCTTAATGGCTCTGATAATCAAAAAGGGGCAGAAAATATTCAAATGAGCTTCAAGGTCACACTTAGTGGTACAGCCCTATAACTAGACTGGATTAATGGCAGAAGAGTAGGTGTTTTGGATGAGAAGGAATTGAGGAAAGAAGATGAAATTGGTAGCAGTATGATGATCTTTAGAAGCTCTCTATACCTTGTAGCTAATCCAATCCATAAATGTACCAATCCAGAACAATAAAATAACGAGAATACACCAAAACAGTTTAACAAGAGTCATCCATCCAACTGGTTTGGACTCTTTTTTTCTTTTTGAGATAGGGTCTTACTGTATAGTTCAGGCCAGCTTGAACTCACTATGTGACCCAGGCTGGCCTTAAATTTGCAGTGATCCTCCTGCCACCATCTCCTAAGAGCTAGGATTATAAAGGGATGGACCACTACTTCTGGTCAAGTGTGGATCTTAACAAAAAAGTAGGTTTTCTGCTTTGGTACTCAGCCATGTATGTATGTATGTATGTATATATTTGCACTGCTAGACATGCACTCTACCACTGAGCCATATCCCCAGCTTCTCTTCTGTCTTTTAAACTACAACTTTTAACCTTAAGAAAGCACTGATGAATCAATCTTTTTGTTTTTAGTTTTTTGTTTTTTGGTTTTTTTTTGGTACCAAGGATCAAACTTGGGACCTTGCGCTTGTGTGGCAGGTGCCAGAACCACTGAGCTAAATCCCCGGCCTTGTTTTTAATTTTTTGAGACACATCATGCTATATAGTCTGTAGTCCAGGTTGGTCTCAAACTCGAAGTGATCCTCCTGCCTCACCCTCCCGAGTGCTGGGATTATAGGCACGAGTCCAGCTCAATCTTCTTATAAATTTTGGTGTTCACCTAATTATAGCTCAAAGTCACCACAATACCAGCGATATCAACCCCAGACCATAATCAAACCAACCCTGCTTACTCAGAGCCTATTACTGAGGAAGAGCTAATCCTCAAGATAGCCTTTAAGATAGGTGCTATTATTGTCACTCTCATTTTACAGATGTTACATAAGGTCTCTAAAGTGAAACAGGTGGTAAGAAGCAGGCTGATTCCTGAGCCTTTTGTTTAACCCTTCTTCTGCTTCCCAGATGGAAGGGCTGCTCACCACTAGTTAGAAAAAAATATGGGAGCAGCCCCATTAATCCTAAGGTTATTACTATATTCTGGTCCATAAAGCCACTCACCTGTCATCATAAAGAAAGGATAATTAGGCACTTAGAAAAAGTAAAGGTAAATGTTTACATACCCCTATCCTCACCCTTTTATTCTGAAACTTCTATTTATTTTACAGTTGTCTTTGATGTTCATTTTAACCCAATTTTACACTGCTAAAACAATTTAAGGGAAGGACTAAGGATGATTCACAAACCTTCAGACTTTGGTTATCTTTATCTCCTTGGACATACTGCTTTCCACCTTTCGGTGTACATCACCAGGAAAAAGTCAGGCTTCTGTCCACATATATTACAATTTCCTTGCAGTCCAAGCAAACTGGACCAAGAGTGAAGGTGACTCATTTCCTTATGTAGCATGGAGCCCTTCAGAGTAAGGCACTCATAGGCCTGTCATAGTTGCCCTGAACCTATATGTCTTATTTCATTTTATTTTATTCCACTACTTCTCTCACATGTCATGTATCTTTGCATCTCTCTGCCTTTTTACACAAGGCTTCCTTAGTCCTGAATTCCCTTCCTCCTTGATGGTTAAAATCTCACTTAAGTTCAGTTAGCTTTGAGGAAGACTTCAGACAGACTTAGAAATAAAGGTATTCATTCTTGCTATCTTTAGTTCTGGTAATGATTTATTTTGGCACTCATTTGACAGTTATTTGTGTATGTATATAAGTCCTTCAGTAGATACATTTCTTGAAGTCAAAGACCATCTTTAACTGATTATGTGAATCAGTTTAACATAATGCCTTGCTCACGGGTGCTATGCAAATAAACAAGCAGACAAACAGACTACAGTGTGGTATAAGCTGACAAATTTCCCTCTCTCTTAAGATCTCATGAAAACTTTATAGTTATGCAAATTTGGTTTTTTATTTCATGGGGCAGTATTAGAATACCCAGCTTCCCAGTATGTTCAAAATCATAGTTCCCAAAGGTACCTTTAAGCGCTAAGAGAAGTCTGCTCACAGAAGACAGAATATCTGTTATTTGATTTGAGCCTTTTTTTTTTTTTTTTGTACCGGGGATTGAACTTGGGTCCTTGCGCTTGTGCAGCAGGCAACGAAACCACTGAGCCAAATCCCCGGACCCCAGAATATCTGTTATTGATGAATCCTCCCCAAATGAGGTATTGCACATGGATGGCTGACTGTGCAAGTTACACAATTCAGTGTCTCAAATGTTGCCATTAGCTATGGATTATCTGGATTAATTCTATATTGCATTACTTTCATATATTGATACACTTGAAGATTTGTCTGGACTTCAGTACATAACAATCACACTATATGCAGCATCAGTTGGCTGACTCGTCTCAACTACTTCTGCAGTGCATAAAAAGTACTTAGTGCCATATTGTCCTTAAACTACAGACTCAGTTGCTTGATGCAACAGGAATAAATCTCGAAAGATGACACCAAGAGATTAATACAAGTCATCTGTAATGAGATAAAAACTCTCTGCAACTATTAGAATATACAGGGGGGGCCCAACTATGGTAAAACTGGTGATGGGAGGAAGAATTTGACATCTAGCTGGACACCACCTTCACAATTCTATGTATATTTCCATAGTAACTCCAAGAGCCAAGATATTTTAGGTGACCCAGTAAATACAAAGTAAACTTGCAACATAATGTTTAATGATGTATCATATCTTTGAGTTCTGCCTGTGGCAAACTAAAATTCCTGGCCCTGGAACGTAAGTACTTTCTTTTTAAAATCCCCTATCCAGCAATACTACTTGGATGCCATATGCAAGGACAAAACATTTCTGAATACAGAATTCTGACTGGAAGATGATCTGATATTTATACAGTGGACCCTCAAGTTATGACTAGCCTGACACACAAACAACTTGGGTTAATTAGGTTAATGGAAGATTCGTCTGCCTCTTACTATCTATAGCGTGTACCCAGGTAAACATTCAGATCTTAGCTGTATTGACTTACAAACACATTACTTACAACCAGCCCTTGAGAACCAATCAAGTTTGCAAGTAAAGGGTCCACTGTACAAGGAATTTAAATTCAAGCTGGAATTTTACTCAAGAGAAAAAGGAGTTTATCAATCACTTGAGAAAACACTGAGCAAATACTAAGTGCCCAGAACTGGTATTTTTCACAGAATGGAAACCTGGCCATATAAAAACATTTGAATCTTTACTGTTGTCTGTTTCTGCTAAGTTCCAGAAATACAAAAAACAATCAGGGATATGACACAGAAGAAGAGGAAGAGGAAGAGGAGGAAGAAGAAAAGAGAAAGAAGAAAAACAAGATGAGGAAGAGGAGAAAGAGGAGGAACAGAAGGAAGAAAAGGAGGAAGAGGAGGAAGGAAGGAGGAAGAGGAGGAAGATGAAGGAGGAAAAAAAGGAAGAGAAGGGAGAGGAAGAAGGGGAAAAAAAGGCTGGATAAGAGAAGAAGAGGAGGAAGAGGAGGAAGAAGAAGGAAGAAAAAGAGGAAGAGAAGGGAGAGGAAGAGGGAGAAAAAAAAGGCTGGATGAGGGCCAGGATTTAGCTCAGTGGTGCTGGCGCCTGTCTCACAAGTGCAAGGTCCTGAGTTTGATCCCCTGTACCAAAAAAAAAAAAAAGGCTGGATGAAAGAGAAAAGCTAACATGTTCCATAACTATACAACAGAGTTTCAATTCCATGTGAATTTCTAACTTCTACTCTACTGGAAGCCTTTCTTTCCCTCTTTGTAGAGGGCAGAAGATGTTAATGGAAAAAAGGAGAATCCTGAAAGAAGAAACAAACTTTTGAGACTGAAGAAGCAAGGCAAAGATAAAAGCACTTCTGTTAAAGTATTCAGAGGAAAGCATTCATATAGACAGTTCTTTCCTCACCATGATTTATAGTATACATGCTGGGGCCGGGGATTTAGCTCAGTGGTGTCACCGCCTGCCTCACAAGTCCAAGGCCCTAAGTTTGATCCCCAGTACAAAAAAAAAAAGTATACATGCACTAGGTCACATTTTAAGGCTTGGTTTTGTTTTTTGTTTTGTTCTGATCCTCCTGCCTCAGCCTCCTGAATGCTGAGATTACAGGTGTGTGCCATCACACCTGCCTGGCTTCACAAATGTTTATACTAAAAGTGGCCACTGTGAAAGCAACTGAAAATACTCTTTGAAAGATAAAGAAATATAGACCCAATCATGCATTATCCTAAGATCTATGACACATTTACTTTTCAATAAATGATTCAACATAACAGTAAACATTGTGGATGGTGTAATTCCATGCCCATAAAATGGATTTTATTTGAAGACTAACCTCTTAGAATACAGAATGTGATTCATTTTAGCAATTAATATTAATATAAATGAATAAAAAAGAATGAGCTTTCACAGGGAAATATACCATTGATGAAACAACAATATAGTATTAAGGAAACTACTTTCATTTTAGTTTTGGAAGTGTACAAACAGGTGTAACATTCCCTGGTTTCAGCATCCTAGACACATGTTACATATATGGCAAAGGAATGTCAGTAGTTGTGAAACTCAGTCAGTGAATCTGCTTCTCCCTAATTTAGAATTCCCCACAGGGATGCATTTAGAGAAAGTTTTCAAGCTGCCTGGTTTGCAAGTTCTACCCACTATGTGCCCCTCCCTCCACTGCTTACAGATAGATAGGAAGTAACCTATTGGGTTGAGTTTATAGATTCTTCTTGAATAAAATTCATCACTTAGTAATATTTAATGAACACTCAGAAGTATGTGCACAAAGTGAAGGACTAAAATGTATGGCTGTATCAAACATAAACCACCTACACTCAGCTTCACTTGCCAGAGCTAGCTTATCTTGGGATATTCATCCACATTCCCTTGGAACTTCCCTTTAATATGAATCAAACTTTAGGACTCTATGCTATACTGATATATCCTTGAAAAGGAAAAGACTATTTCTCTCTTACTAAATCTGTAGCACTATTGCTTTGTCTGTAATTCTTAGCAGCGCAAGATCACTACTTTATCTGTGTTTTCCTTGATTCTTGAGGGCAAGGGAAATGCACTGCACCTTAAAAAGGCCTCACTGCAGGAAAGATACTCAAATTGTTTTGGTTGTGGGCATCATCTGGTTTGAGTGAATTATTAAGACATGCAGACAGCTCTTTTGTTTTGGGCTGCTGTTGTTAGGACCTTTTAACATAGTCAAGATTTACATCAAACACAACAGAAGTTTGAGGTCAGTCTAAGCTACACACATAGTGAATTTAACTAACTGGCTTAAACTATATCATGAGATCATACCTCAGAAGAGAGGGGGAAAAAAAAGATCTACTCATATTATAAATCAGGTTTGTTCTGTCAACAGCATCCAAAGTGCTAAATACTATATGAAAAAAAGAAGCTAATATACATGACCTAAAGACGATACCAATTCAAACTTTTCATTTGAAAAGATGAAAATATGAGGTAGTCATATTGGATTTTTGATAACTTATGGGACTGAATCATTTGACTGCAGTAATTATGTCATGATGCTGAGTTAGCACACAAGATGAGGGAAACTTTTCAGGTGGCTTTTTTTTTTCCCTGGTACCAGGGATCGAACTCAGGACCTTGCACTTTTGAGGCAGGCATGGCAACACTGAGCCAAATCCCTAGCCCCATCCAGCCTTTTTTGTTTTTCAGGTGGTTTGTACATCCAAGTACAGTACTTTTTGGAGAATTAACTAAAGTGTTGGTACTTTCATCTGGAAAACCTGCCACATGTCTACTATGTAGGTATTGCTCACCTTCCACCCTCACCCTCATTTCCTCTGCCTAGTCCATATGTGTTACACGGGGAATAAATCAAAGGAGGTTGACCTAAGGGTTCATAATTAAGTTGGCCTAAAATATTACATCTCTTGATAAAAGCAGTTGCCAGATTATGAGAAGTCTGACACTGAATTTAGATAAACTCACTATAAAACTCAGCAACTGACCTGGACTGCCAGGGAGCCTGAAAACCCTCTCTTTTGCTACCTTTATCCCTTCTGCACTGCCATGGTCCCTATTCCCTAATTCTCAGATATGGATGATCATGGTCCAGTTTCTACTTACTTATTGCTAGTACCTGGAGTACCAGGGCCAGAATATAAAGCCTTACATCTATAAAACCCAAGAGAAAACATGAGAATATATATATATACTCCTGACAACCAGATGCTTTTGCCTTTTGAACTTTCTTGCATTACTATAATGGTCTGTGATTATCTGTTCTCATCATCTATTTCTTTTTTTTCTCTCTCCTATTTCTATGGTATGCTCAGGACTTCCTCTCTCTCAAATCATTAAGCCACTATTCAGACAAGTACAGAGAACCTAAACATGTAAATAATTAAAGAAATAAAAGCTACCTAGGGCTGGGGATTTAGTTCAGTGGTTCCGGCACCTCCCTCGAAAGCACAAGGTCTCGAGTTCACTCCCCAGGTCCAAAATAAATAAATAAATAAATGAATGAATGAATGAAGGAAGGAAGGAAGGAAGGAAGGAAGGAAGGAAGGAAAGAAGGAAGGAATGCTGCCTTGATATAGCTATGTCTTTCACCACCAACCCAATGGTTGTGAACCTTGGACGTTTATCAGAATCACTTCAGGATTTTTTTTTTTTGCTTTTTGAGACAGTCTTTCTACATAGCGCAGGCTGCCCTTAAACTCACTATGTAGCACAGGCCGGCCTTGAACTCTTGGCACTCCTCCTGCCTCAGCCTCTCTCAAGTGGTGGGATTATAGGCATGTACCACCACATCTGGCAACTTCAGGAGATTTTTAAATACCCTGATGTCCAGGTCTCATTCCAAACGTATTGAACAAGAATCTCTGGGGATAAGAAGAGCCATCAATAGTTTTAGAAGTTTCTCAGATGAATGCAATATGTAGTCCCAAACCATAATATTACCTCAGACTGACTAGCTGTTCTATGGGCTTTTTCATAGAAAACTAACGCTGAATTTGTTCTCCATAATCAGAGAGACATTTTCAAGAAGATTCCTAGGCTGTGATCTGATTTAAAATCGGGGAATTAATTCCCTAGAAAGAAAGGTGCTCGAAATCACTGGACAGAGAAGGAGGCAAAGGTCCTTGCATCTTCTCCACTTGTCATGAGCTGCTTTTGCTTCTTTATAGATTAAAATCACAAGGAGGAGCTTTGGAGTTCCCATTAAGGAAGACTGACACTAGTCATGAATATGTGACTCCTCCAAGTTAAATGCCAAGGAATATTAGAATCCTGAGGTTCTCTCCTCCTACCTCCAGCAGGTCTATCATCCTGGTCATCTGGGAGTAGATAAGGACCCTATGTCCTTGAGACTTGAGCCGAGTTAGCAGGACATCAAGGGCATACAGCTTTCCACTGTCAGTGATGAGGCTCTCTTTCCCTGGGGAGAAAAAAGGAAGAAGAGAGAAAACTTTAAGTGAATCAACAAAAGCATTCACTGCAAAGCTGTATGCAGCCAAAAATTACTAGCACTAGGACAATGTTGTCATTAGCACAGACAAGTACTCCAGAGGAAGAAAACAAAGCCCCATTAAATCACAACTGCAGGCAAGAGTGGTGGTGAATGCCTGTAATGCCAGCACTCAGATCACTGTTGAGTTTGAGGCCAGCCTGGGCTCCATAGTGAGTTCAAGAGCAGCCTGAACTACATAGCAAGACCTGTCTCAAAAAACAAAACAAACAGGGCCGGGAATTTAGCTCAGTGGTTTCACTGCCCGCTGTGCAAGTGCAAGGGCCCGAGTTCGATCCCCGGTACAAAAAAAAAACAACAAAAAAAACCCCAAACAAATCATAACTGCAGAAGTGCTCTGGAAAGATACACCTTGAAAGAGGGAGGTTCAGACTCTCTCCTAGCTGACAGCTCCCAATCAGACACCTACTGTTAGGGCATTTGAAAGCACCTATGCTCTGCATTCTCACTCGGGGCACACTAGGTATACACATAGGCATTTATGAATGATGTCTATGTAATATCTGCTGTAACTTGAAAAATCTACTTCGTCTTTATTTATCTATCTCTAGATATTTGTTGTGGTCAAATGTTTATATCCTGAATGCATGAGAATATATAGAAATAAGAATTGCTCCCAGGCTGGGGATTTAGCTCAGTGGTTCTAGAGCCTGCCTCATAAACAAGGTCTCAAGTTCGATCCCCGGTACCAAAAAAAAGAATTGCTCCCATCTTCCTAGGGAGACATGTACACATAAGAAATGCAATTCCATCCCCAGTACAAAAAAAAAAAAAAGTGCTTGCTTTGGCAGCACATATACTAAAATTGGAATGATACAGAGAAGATTAGCATGGCCCCTGCGCAAGGATGACACGCAAATTTGCGAAGCGTTCCATATTTTTAGTTTCTCTAGTGTGAGAAACTGAGAGTGTAAATAAGGATTAAAAGGATTAATAACTAATAATTGATACTTTGAAATAGGAAAAGGTTCAAAGGGGTAGGGGTGGTGGGAGGAGATGGGGAAAGGAAAGAATGGAAAGGAAAAATTATGAGAAAAGAAAAAAAAAATGGAAACAAAGTCTGTGTAAATAGGGAAGGGTGGAGGGGTGAAGGGTGCACAGGTAATGGGGAAAAAATAAGAACTAAGATACATCATGTACACGTACAAGCACCCAATGATAAGTGTAAACATATTGTATACCTAAAATATACCAATAAAAGAATTAAAGCAAAAAAAAAAACAAAAAACAAAAAAAGAAATGCAAAATAAACATACCTACCCTGACTTTTTTTTCCTTTTGCAGTCCCCTAGGGACTGAACCCAGGGCCTTGTACATGCTAGGCAAGTGCTCTACCATTGATCCCTAGAGCATCAACTTTTTTTTTTTTTTTTTTTAAGTTAATATGTGTTTGTGATACCCAGTGATTATATTCAGCTTAGGGCAGTGATGGTGAACCTTTTAGAGCTTCCAATAACAAACAGCCCACTGCAGCATGCGTGCCATAGGTTCACCACCACTGGCTTAGGGGTTTGCATATACTTAATCTTGATCATTTTTATGGCCCCAGCTTCCCTTTGTCCATTGAACTTTTTAAAAAGAAACAACCAGGAAAAAAAAGAAAAGAAAGAAACAACCAGGGCTGGGGATTTAGCTCAGTGGTTCCGCTGCCTGCCTCCCAAGCGCAAGGTACCGAGTTCAATTCCCAGTACCAAAAATAAAATAAAAAGAAACCACCAAATAACCAACCAACACACACCACCAAAAAAACAAAAACAAAAACAAAAACACCTCCCTCTTAGGAGGATTTCAATAGGTTGGCTGATAAATGTCATTAATGCAAGATATAATTTGATAAGGACACCAGGCTTCGTCTTTTCAGAAAGACTGACTTTGGGTTTCTGTGAGATGAAGCTGCTTTCACTCATTAATTTATGCTTTTTCCTTCCTCTTCCCATAAGAAATGATTTCAGCTGAGATCTAAAGAATAGTTAACTCACAAGTTTTCATCTTATCCATTCAGTATCATTCAACTTCCATCATATTTCAGGAAGCAGACTTTCCTGTTTGCAGACTGGCTCAGAAACATGCCTTAAACAATTGCTGCCATTAAGAGGGGAAGAGAAGAGGCTTGAGGGCTGGATAAGAGTATGTATGCAAGTGGCTGGGGGAACACAAAAAAAGAGAAAGGATAGAGATCTCACAGTGACAACAAATCAAAGAGAAATTGTTAAGACAAATACACAATCTATTCTTAGTTTTTGGGTTTGAACTCAAAACTTTTCTTCTGAACTGCACAGGTTGACTATTGAGAGCAATTGAAGAGTTCTCAACCCTCATTCCTGTCTCTCCTTGCCAAGTGCACAATTATTGTCTAACCTGAAGAACGGATGTGCTGACAGCACCATAACAAATCATCAGCCACTCTGTTTGTGCTACAAAGCTACAGGTCCTGAATGTTTACTTGTCTATGCCACAGCCTGCCTTTTCCCACCTTCAGAACATTGCTAGGCCGCATCTCTCCCTCTCCACCCCCTCCCTGTCTCTGTGGCACACACCTTTGTTCAACCTCTTTGTTTGGTCCTGTTTAGATTACTGGAATGCTCTTCTTTTCGTTTCTCCTTACACACACAATCAAATGACTAAAGCTGGGACAGAAGTGACTGCTGAGCCCTCTCCCTAGCACTAGACAAGGAGGCCTGTATAAACTCCAAGTCTCATCAGGCAGCAATACTCTCGTAACAATTTGAAGGGTTTCTTATCAAAGTTACCCTTCTTCAATTGGATTGACAGGGGTGTCTTGATTTTCTTAGCTCCTGAACATTCCCCACAAAGATACTAATCAGCTTTAGACATTACATTTCTGTTCTCATTAAAAGCACAAGGCTAAAAAAAAAAAGCCTACATATTTTCCAGCCAGTGAATGAGAGTAAGCAAGCTAAGTTCTTCAGATTTCTGCAGCCTGCTTATCTACTATCTCCATTCAGATAATATACCCTCAGCACAGATAAATAAGGCATATACAAATTTATCCAGTGTCTCAATTTTGAGAGGTCTCAATGGATTTATAAATCATGGTTAAATGATTTTGGTACATTTCTGCTTCTCATATCTAGTTTACTTGCTAACTAGAATGAAATGATGTTAGGATTAGAGGAGCTCAGACGTACATATATCACTCAGTTTTTAGGATCTACCAAAGTTGTACTGAAGAAGAGCACTAGCTGTTGCTAAACAGGGCATGGAGCCAGGAGGACCACAATTCCCTAGAAATCAGGCTGATTCTGCCAACTCAAACCCAGGCCCAGCCCCTTCTTTGAAATAGAAGCTCAAAGATCCTGAAACAAACAGACCTATTATCTTTTAAAATCTTTCCTACAATCCTATGGCATTTACATTTAGATACAGGTTCTTATCATCCATAGTAACAAATGTAGCCCATGGTAGTAAACTTAGGTAACAGACTAAATAGCATTTCCCTCTTCCAAGGAAAGGAGCCTTTTGAAAGGATTGTACATCCTTCTGGTAAAGTATGGAGAAGCAATCATGGTATGAAACCAAGGAGATTTTGGCCAATCTTTCAAGGAGTGCAACAGAATCAACACTTCCCAGGGAAACACAAAATGTACAAATAGAGAGGAAAGAAAGATAAATACAGGTTCCAGTGACACAAACTCCCCCCATCTCCACCCTGGCCCAGTGTACAGAGCACAATGGGGTCAGTGAGGAGCTGGCTGGTTCTCACAGTAAACAGCCAGTGAAGCTGGTGCTTTTTATCGATGCAAAAAGAACTCAGACACTTCCTGCTATTTAAACAAGGTCCATTTTTCTTTCAAAGAACAGGAAAAGCCACAAGAGATTCCCACAGCGACAGCAGTAAGCCTCTTACTTCTGTACTGGGAACTAAAGAGTCAGAAGAAGAAGAAGTAAGGTGCTATCTGATTCTCTGATACCCGCGCTCACCTCCTGCCTGGGATTCTGTGGTTTCCATCCTGACCTACTTTACAGTTGAAATTTCAAAAAATACACAATCAGGGGGCCGGGGATTTAGCACAGTGGTTCTGGCGCCTGCTGCGCAAACACAAGGTCCCGAGTTTGATCCCTGGTACTAAAAAAAAATAAAAAAAAATAAAAGAATGGCATTGGAAGCTCTTCTTTTTGAATTAAAGAAAAAGGAAGATGTCTTTTACAGTGGCTTCA